TAAAATAGAAAATAGAAATACATTGGCTGTTCCCTGAGTAAAGCCTCCAGCATCACCTTTGGCTATGGAAGAAGGAAACAGTGCCAGCATGCAACATCCCGTGTTGGCCTCGCAAGCACATGCAAGGGAGAAAGCAACCATTAACCTGTTGGCAACCAAGTAGATCTCCAAGCTTTGAAGGAAAATGGACTTGCTGAATTCAAAATCCAGGCGAAAAGCGACCTGTGGAGGTTGGAGAAGACATGAGGGAGGGGAAAAAACACCCAAGTGCCAGCTGGGAGCAGTGTGGGAACTCTGTGGGTGTGAGCATCCCCCTGATTCCACTGGGAGATGAAGCCATGCATGGGCAGAGCATTGGTTTTCCAGGGAAGAAGAGGCCACACCGGGGATTGCAGGCTTTTCTCTCAGCCCTGCATGCTGCGTTCTGCTTCTCTGAGACTGGAAATATGAGGAGCATCCCCCTCTTTGGAAGAGAAACTCTCCGGGGTCCTGCAGCGAGAGGCCGCTCGCTCCCATCCGCGTGGGGAAAGGCCAAGCACAATAAAATGTGATGAATGTCCCATCTGCACGAGCTGTGGCAGTGACCTCACGCTGTCTGGGGCTGTACAGCCGAGTGCAATATTAAAGCTCCTGCTGCTCTTCAGGCCAGATTTCCATTTCCAGCTTGTCTTTGTTTTGGCAGGACCTGGACTACCTGATGCCACGCAGATGCATTCTCAGCCCCTGTAGGTCATGGGGAGTCAGGCTGCTGAGCTCTTTGGACAGCCACAGGCATCTGAGAGGGATTTTTTGGGAGCTTGAGAGCCTAGTGAGATGCCTGGAGCTCATCCATGGTACCAGGCTTCTGACAAGGGAGAGCTTCACACAGATATAGGGGAGCAGAAAGATTTTATCTTTATATTCCTGGTGTATTGGCTGCTTTTCCCACAGGGGTGCAGGACCAGATGGGATTTCACACAAAGCCCTGGTGACTGCAGAGATTGGCATCTCCCCACTTTTCCTTCCCCACCTTAATTCTGCCTGTAATGTTTGTGAAGGGTTTTATGGCATGTAAAAAACGATGCTCTGGACCTGGGCTTACCCCAAGTGTTAGGAATTACTGTAAGGAGGATGTTACCAGCCCGAGGGGGCTTGGAAAAGGGTACAGGGGAACCCTGCTTGTTCAGAACAAGGAAAACCTCTCATGCAGGGAAGGGTACCTCATGCTGTGAGGAAGGAGCTCAGGGAAGTTACTACCAGTGGTTTGAAACCAACATTAAATTGCTCCGAAGTGCTGGAGTCGAATTGTTTGACTTGGAGGAGCTGGGCTTGATTTTGGTGCTCTCCTACCATCAAGGCAGCACACTACCCATCCTCGTTTCCCTAACATGCCTTTCCAACACCAGCAATGGATATAGGAGGGGAGGAGACCAACCGTTTATCCTTAAAAATCCTATTAAAAGCCCCCCAGCCCCAAAATGGATGGATACAGTGTCACAGCAGTGCCGGGGCAGAGGGCTCCTGTCCCATGGGAATAGCTTTACCTTGGCCTTGGCTCGGAAGAAGGGGTAGCTCACATTGCATACTTTCTTGTTGGGGTGCTTGTCTTCAGTCATGCAGTCGATGTTGATGTCTGTGTCGTCCTAAAATGGGACATGAAGTGTCCATGACATCAGCCCGTGACCATAAAGAAGCAGCAAACACATCCATGGATCCCAAAACAGCCTTTAACGTTTGGAAAAAGCAACAAAACCAGCCAACCCCACGGAATCCTTCCCATCAGCTGAATTTCTAGGGCCATTCCTGGAGATGGGCATTTCTAGCAAGCAACTTCCAGCTTTCCTATTAAAATCCTCTTTAGATGTTTAACTACAGCAATGAATGAATGAACCTGATTATTCTGGGCACTATAATTGGGAAGAAGAGTACTTTCCTGTGATGAGGAGTCCCAGGGAAGCATCAAGAGATAACAGGAGCTATTATTCTGCATGGCCACTGGCTGAGCAGTAAAATTTACTTTCCTGGTCCCAGCAATTATGTTCCTGCTGCTTGAACACCTTCCAGCCAGGCTGGGGAAGCTCCTGCCCATTACTAAACCCAAGCACAGGCTGGGGTGGGATGGGATGGGATGGGACACCAACCCTCCTCTGCCTCAAGCTGTATCAGTGCTACAAGAGGTTGTAACCTTGTTGTATGCAGGTGTCCATCGCCACCAAGAGATGACTGGACCCTTTAAGGGTCTTAGTTTAAGCTGCTGCCACCAGACAAGTCAACCCAGGAGCTGAAACACCCCAGCACCAGCCTCAGGGAAATGCCTTGGCAACCACCAGTAACAGCCTGGAACTTTCTGCCATTCATCTGCTGACATTATGGACTTCCTGGAGCCACAGGTACTTTTCCTTGGGTCTCTGTGCAGCCTCTGACACAAACACCCATCCCCTCCAGCTGGCAACTCGCTTATTTGTAAGGAGCAGCAGCCAGGAACCCGTGAGCAGCGATGCTTCTATGACCAACTGCAACCACTTCTGCAGGGAGCTTTCTGTTACTGAGCATCACAGGAACATTCCCCCCTCCCTTCGTTTGGAATCATCTTTCCAAAAATGCATTTTGTGGCAACGTGCCCCACAATTTTCCCTTGGCATGGCTTGCAATAAAAACAAAGGCAGGCGATGGGATCTGTGGGCGGGTATGAAGTCATTGAGGGATGAGGGAGGGCTCAGCAGCATCAGCATATTTCTCAAACCTCACTGGGAAAAGGGAGGAGGAATACTGGAGTGGAATTTTGGGGAGATTGGGAATGAAACATGATAGACTTATGCAGGGGACAGCCATAGAGAAGTGGCATCGCCCGGCTTGATCCTGAGCTGTGGCCACATTCCCTTTATCAGCCCATCCTTCCAGCAGTTGTATCTCAGCTGCAAAAATTCACCCCTGACAGGAACTTGGCCACGTGCAGCAAGTATTTTTAAACTATGGGAGTAGAAAAATAAAGAGGGAAATAATTTCATCCACGTTTGACCTTCTCGCAGGCTCTTAAAACTCAAACGTTTTTGTATTTCCAAAATGAAGAGCTGAAAGGGCTGGTAAGTGCTTAGAAATGAAGCCCATAAACATGTCTGATTTATGAGGGATGGAGGCAGTTCTGGGCACTGGTTTAGGACACAGCTTTCTCATCCGTCCAGGATGAGCAGCGCCTCTGGAAAGCCCTGGATCTCGCCCCACGGCCTCACCTTGGGGATCAAGCTGGCAAACTGGAGGTTCCTGGAGAAGGAGATGTTGAGGACGGTGCTGTAGGCGTTCTCCCCTCGGTTCTCCAGCACTGCCTCCACGGCCACCCTCCTCCTGCTGCTCTCGATGACCGAGATGGAGGTGTCGAAGGAGAGGGTGAAGGCTGAGCAGTCCGGCGGTGCCCTCCGCAGAGCACGCCTGCAGTATTCCCTGTGGGAGGAGGGCAGCAAGTGCCAGAGAGGTGCAGGCAAATCCCAGCCCCACGGTGCTGATGGGCACGGTGGGTAGGATGCTGCAAGGAAATCCCTGCTCTCCCTCTGTCATACACCACCACTATGGAAAGAGGAATCACACATTCCTCCCATGGACCATCGGTTTGGCTTTCTCAAACCCAGTTAGGAGCTCTGAGTACAGCTGGGATGTAAGGAAAAAAAGAGATATCATACCATTAGCAAAAGGTAAAGCTGGCATTCAGTTTCAGCCTGGTTGAGATCTCTCTCCCACTGAGTTTGCCATCAGACTATGCAATGGCCGGAGGGGTGTTTGGGCATGTGTTTTCTTTATGAAAAATAGGAAAGGGAAACGTAGGAGGGTGCCACTTTCAGAGCCACCTTCTGCCCCTAATAGCAGAGCAACCAGGGCACCAGTGTGAAGGAATAGTTCTATTCCAACAAGTTGCCTCAAAAGTGGTTTTCTTGGCAGAAATTGGCTGCTTTACCAGGGCAGGATCCACTTCCTACTGATGCTGTCAGGAAAGCTCCACAGGCTTCAGGAGAAACAAATGAGAGGTCTGGCACCATGGTAGACCACAGAATCTGCCCATGGGTATCCTTAGGACTCCAGCCACTAAGGTCCATGCATCATCCCTACCTACAGCTCACTTCAGCCTCCTGCAGTGCAGCCCAAAAAGGGGCTCTGGGCATCCTGGACCCCCTCCTGGTCAAGCCCCAGGTCACAGTCTCAGGACCAAGAGCTTTACAGGAGACACAGAGCAACAAATGCTGAATTACGGGTACAAGTAACCCCCAGGTAGCAGCGCTGGGCATGAGCTCGGTGCAGAGGTGGAGGTTCAGGCTCCTGTGCTCCTCGATAACCTTTAAAAGCTCCTTAAGCACTGAGATGTGGTGTACAATTATTTCTGCTGTGTAAGTCAAGCCTGTAACTGCCAAGTGGGCAATGCATTTATCCCCTTGTTATTTACTGACTTGTCTCCATGGGGCTCATCACCATGGCATCAAATATTAGTTGTTCTGTGGATTCCCTGGAAAACCACCAATTTCCTTCCAGGCAGGGAGTAGGCAGAGGCTCCAAGGAGCACCTTGTGGTGTTGTTGGGTGGACCTTGTGGTGGTGCTGGGTGAAGGACCAGTTGTGATGCCCTAATCTATGGAGCATGGGTTGGGGCTGGGTTTTGGAGACCTCTCAGTGTGTGATAATGGTTTGGGAGGATGCTGAGTGACCTACTCACATGGCACTGGGCACATCGCTTCTGGCATCCAGGACCAGATCAGGGACGCAGTGCTCATCCTCATTGCACCCATTCCAGAAAGGGACCTGAGGGGGACAACAAGAGCTGGTCAGTGATGATCTGTGCTCCAGTTTGTACTCCAAGGAGAAGGGACATGGGTGGTGATCCCAGGCTGGAGCAAATGCCCAACATCGTGAGAGGGATAAATCTGAGATATTAAAGATAAGTCAGAGATAAATCTCCTGACCAACTGCCTGATAAAAGGCACCCTGGGAGGTTGGTGCTGTTACCTACCAAGACTCTGAGCGAGGTGGGCCAGCCATCATCCAGCATGGGGCCATTTTCAAGGTGCTCAAGCTCATAGTCAATGGAGAACGTCACCGGCTTCACGTAGTCGGCTGTGTCCTGCAGCAGACAGAAAGCATCATTGAGAAAGAGAGGGGTCCTGCCACTCTATGAGCTCTTCCATGCATTGCCCCAGCTGCACAGGTTGCAGTTGGATGCTCTGAAGTGAGATGCTTCTTGGGATAAATCACAAGCTCCATCTCGAGCTCCAGACTTGAATTCCTCAGAAGTTCATGGCAGTTCAGGCCGGGGCTTGGGGCTGGGCCAGTCTGGCAGCTCGGTCTTCCCTGGCTGAGGAATATTCTCATCATTCACTGGGAATGTTTGAGTTTGGCGAGGTTTGTGCATCAGCTGCTCCTTGTGAGTGATGCAGAGGGTTTGCTGGCTCCTGCACTCGGGGAGGGGGACCCTGATGGTTAGAGGGGTGCAGAGAGCGAGAGCACTGGGGACTTATGTGGAGGCATCTGTTTCCCAAGAGAAAAAGAATGAGTTTTCATTGATTCTGGGGCTGGAGGACCAGCCCAACTTGGGATTCAGGAGTTCACAGCCTCCCTAAGGGCATGGCTAGCTGCTCATGGCAAGGAGAACAGTGCAAGCTGGGTCTGCGATGAAGTCAGCGCTTGGGGACCCAGTGGCTCCATCCCTGACCACATCAAGCGGTTGGACTTGATGACCTTGTAGGTCTTTTCCAACCTAGTTGATTCTATAATTCTATGAAACCCAGCATGAAGAAATCCACTGGGACATAAGGCTCATTTCCAGCCCCATGAAGCCACAGAGGCTCCTCTAACCACCTCCCAGCGCATCAGTGTTTCACACAAGGTGAAGAGCATCTTTGCTTGGTCAGTTGCAGAGGAGGAGACCCCGGCCTCATCCTCCATCGCACTCACCAGGACGTGGAAGTGGAGCCTGTCGCAGTGCTCCTGCCCCGCGAGCAGCACCAGCTCCTTCTGCGTGTGCCGCTCTCCGCTCTCATCCAGGTGAGCCCGCGGCGTGTACCTGCGCTCATCGATGGTGGTGTTGTACCGCAGTGCTGCGAGGAAGGAGCAGTGCCATCAGCACTGTACAGTGCCATCACTACATAGCAACACCGGGTCAAAGAAATGGGCTTTTGAGCACTCAAACTCCTATTGCTAGGAGCAGTGTGGCAGAGAGCACGCTATGGGAAAATTGGGAAATTTAGGTTAGTGTTGGCTGTTTCTAACAGGCACTTCTTTTGGGCAAAGAAAATTGCTCAAAAGAAATCCCTGTTTCTCTCCAACTCAAATGAGGAGCTTTAAAAATACATTATGACAAGACACTGCACAAAATCTGTGCAGGATATATAATTATTCACCTCATATATTCACATGCTGGAGGGATTGTACCCTAGCACTTTCCTAGATGTTTTACTGGATATCATTTTCTACATGCAGTACTGTCAAAAAGAAACCAAAGGTCCCCAATCCAACGCCAAAGCAGGGTGGGATTCTCACCCACTACCCCAGTGTGATGCAAAACATGCATCAGCCAAGAGCAACCATCACGTTCCAGCATGCACCGTCCACAGGGTGGCTCTTCTGGGTAGAAATAAGTGTGAAATTAAATAGATAAAGGAAACTCTGCTCAGCTTTTAATCCTGCAAGCGCTGCAAAGACAGCAGTTGGGAGGAAAACACTGGATTTGATAGTGCAAATCAGGATTCTTGCTCTAGGGACCTGATTTTCCTATGACAGTGTTTTCTATCTGTTAACCACTATCACTTCCCCCTGCTCCAGCTGAGTCATGGGCACCCACTGGGTAGACTTGGGGTCACAGCAGCAAGGGTTTAATAGCAGAGATTGCCAAAAGCTTCACTGAGATTCCCTGAGATATCAGGGAAACATGCACATATGGTCGGCAGATGTGTCCTGCTGCTGCAGCGGGGAGGATGGACAAGCTCTGCAGGACGTGGTCCAGGCACATCCTCTCTTGTCCCACTGGCTGGTGAGGAGGTGTTGACATCCCTGTCACACATACCATGGCAAGGCAAGCCATGGGAGAGCTTGGCCACAGGGAATGGGTGAAAGAAGAGGTTATGCGTGGGTGTATCTTTGAGTTGTATCCTTGGGGTGTTTCCTGTCACTGCTTAATGGCAGAGCCATCGTTCCTGCTACACGAGCCAGGACAGAGACACATTTGTGGGTAAAAAGGGATGTGGCAAATGGCAACGTGCACTCCTGCAGACATGTCAAGCTCCGGGATGGTTTCCCTTGGCAGAAGTTGAGTGCTCCCTTGGGGCTGGACACCTGAACAATGCATGAATTGGGGTTTTTGTTGTATGAGCAGCTGTGCACTTACCCACACTGGCTGTCTGGAAGTGAGCTGAGAGAAAGACAGCAGTGAAGCAGATGAAGGCTGACATGCAGGTGGCATCCTTCCCGTTCCGCTTGCAGTCCTTGGTGAAGATGTTGATTTTGGGGGGCTCGAAGCGGATGCTGGCGTTGATCTGGACCACGCTGCGGGACCTGCAGGGCAAGCAAGGGTCAAGAGATGTACTGTGGCATGGGATGCAGAACACATCTAAAGTATCCTCCAAAAGCCTCCTACACACCTCCGAAGTCATCCTTTTCACACCTTTTCACTCTTTTCCTCAACATCGAGAAGGTGCTGAGGAAGACCAAAGGCCACCACAGCATCCTGCTTTACTCTCATCTCATCTATGTAGCATTGAAGAATAAAATCTCTTGCACATATTTGCCTCCTGCTCATGTCAGTGAAGCAGCAGCATTTGTGGTCCCTTCCATGCACACAGCAGGTCCCAGGGTGGCCCATCTCTGCTGGGCACAGCTACTCTCCATCCTAACAGCTTCAAGGCGCTTTCCAAACCATTATTCAATGTTTGAAAATATTAAATCATTCTTATTTAATAAGAACAGGGGGAGCCTGGGCTGATCACCACAAATCAATGAGCTGGATTGCAACTCCTGGGGAGCTAATGATGAAATTCAATGCAAAACCAACTCTGACACCCTCCTAGGGCCCAATGGCATCAAAATCCCATGGGCCCGCCAGACAGGGGGTTGTAATTGTGGAAAGATGGGTCAGATTGTTGGGAGATCAGTTTTCCCTCAAAAGATTGCAGCATATTGCAATAAGCATTGGGAAGAGGAGGGTGCCAAGCGAGAGGGTAGAGCTAACCACAGCAGCACGGCGTTCCCCAGGGAGCCCACGGCCAAGTCCACGAGCCCATCCTCATTCAGGTCCAGCTGTCCATGGATGCTGCATCCAAAATACATCAGCCCCGGCGCGAGGTCCGCAGCTGCTATCCGCTGAAAGGAAAAGGGCAGAATCCAGCCTGGTTTCCAGCTGGAGCATCCCTGCCTGTGAAGGAGGCGTTTGCCATGTCGGCCTCCTCCATGCTACTGAAGATGCCCCTTCCCAAGTGATTGCATCACAGTTTTCCAGGGAATAAGAGCAGTTTCTGTTTG